AGACTGATCACGCCCTCCGGCGTGGGAGACCTAATACTCATGTGCGGCAATGGCAGAGGGGAGGATTTTGTTGGAATGAATGGGTGTTTTACTGTATATTACGTGTTTTAGTGGTCATTTTACAAAACCCTGTGGGTGGTCCTAATCCCTTTGGTGCCAATTAAGGAAAACTACTTGACCCTCTAACTCGCAGCCTCGACTCGTGTTTGGAGGGGACAGTTATAATCACTACAGGGATTGCTAAGCTCTTCATACTCCCTTAGCTACTGAGCTCTTGTAAGAGCTCTTGTTCCTGATCCTGCTTCGCTCTACAGAAGGAAGAGGTTTACCCACTGGAACCTGGAGCCTGGTTGTAGGTCCAGGGTGGATAGCAGACAGCGAGATCCCAGTCCAGCTGCGGCGGTTCGTGGAGTCTGCAGTGTTTATGGTGTCTACGGTGCTGATGGTCCTTTGATGAGCGCTAGGAGCATCCTTTCTATGGTCCAACTTCCAGCCAGCCTGGAGGCAAACGTAACACAGACTGTGACAGATCCCTCTGTCTTGAAACTGTGCCTATAACCCACTGGGTTCATCTGTTTTTCGGTTAGTTGCCTGTCCGTACCCCCCATTCGTTTATTTCCTAAACTCACGAACAAACTGCCGAACGGCTGGCCACTAAGCCTGAAAGTATGCTGCTGGTTAACCTATTGGCCTCATTAGAACCTTGTGGTTAACCGCAGACACCTCCTAATTATCAACGGAATGCTGGGTGGTCGTCATTCGTATTACGACCATGAGGCGGCAGCCATCTTGGATGCACGAAGGATCAGCGGTGTTCGTCGATGACTTCCTGGAACTGAAAATACGAATGCCGAATGCTGGTCCGTTCGGTACTTTTCTGCATCCCATTGAGCCTGTTCGTATACCGAAAGACAATGTGAAATACTTTGGCTCCATGGCGATTGAGCTGTGTGTATAGGATCTGAGCGCCATTCGGTAATAATGTGCGCTCAGATCTAAGTTATCTGGGGATAAGTTAAGTGGTTATTCTATTCGTGTAATTTGGAGTTATGGATTTTTATGTATTTTTATTATTATGTACAAAATGGAGTTTAGCCTCTATCCGTGGAGGTAATTGGATTACTTCCCAATTATCTCCAGGATAGAGAGGAGGGTTGTTCTCAGCTAAAGGGGAGTGTTTATGCTTGTGCCACTGTGATTGGCTACTGTATCCATATTGTCCCAGTCTTCCATCTGGTCCCCTAGTGGAGTGTCCACCAGGTGGGAGACCTGCATAAATACTGGGCAGGTAGCCCTCAATAAATCTCTGCTTAACCCTCAATAAGGAACTTGGTCTCGTACTTGGGGGTATTGGATTCGTATGGTTTACTCGTTCGGCTGTTTGATACGTGAAGGATTTCATATGGTTCCTGTTTGGCTGATTGGAGCTTTCGTTAGCTGTCTCTCCATTCGGAAGGTAAACGTTGTAACGGCACCCCAAGGCATAAAAGGGTTAAACCGCCGTTTAGTAGATCTTCCCCTTCCAGAGACACAGGCACATCTACTGTAGACACCAATCCACCGAATCGGAGAAGCATATGAATGCTGTAAACAGCCGAACCGGAACCATACGAATGCTGTAAACAGCCGAAAAGGAAAAACCATACGAAAGGTTTACACTCCTAGCAGTCGAACTGAAACAGCATACAATAAATCCCCCCCAAGAACGAGACAAAGCTCCGTGTTGAGGGTCAGGCAGTGAACAGACAGAGCTGTGGGTTTATTGTTCTTATATACACATTCTTACACATTAGTACCACCCACAGGGTTTCGGAAAACCACCAATAAACACGTACAATACACTCAGACACTTCCACACAAAATCCTCCCCTCTGCCTGTGATACAATTACTTACACAATGGGTAATGTAACTGGCAGAGAAATACAGTTTTTCCACATTATTCATAATTTTAAAAGTATGCATCACATTCACATAAACATTCAACATATCCCCAGATAGCTTAGATCTGAGCGCACATTATTACTGAATGGTGCTCAGATCACACACATACAGTTTAATTGCCATGGAGCCAAAGTCTTTCCCATAGTCTTTCATTATACGAATGGGCTCCATGGCATAGCTATCTGGGGTATCACCGCTTAAACAGGGCAAGCACCTAATGACCCGGCTTTCGTGTATTTGCTGGGGAAAATCAAGCGTTTCAACATGGGGGGTCTAAAGGGAGCAGGTGGGCAACCAGGCTCCTCCAATGCAATATGACGAGATTGCTCTCGTCACATCTCTCCCCTTTTCCAGACAGACTAACAGGGTATCTGACCTCCTGCTGGTCAGTGCCCTGGTTAGTCCAGCAGCCCACCCACAAAGCACAAACAGCAGTAAAGCCCACCCACAATAACTGGTTACTACACCTGTGTAGAGGAGAAACTTGTCCATGTTCAGGTGCCTCACCACGGCTGTGTGGGCGACTGGTAGGCTGCCTTGGTGGGTTTCTGAGTGGGCAGAGACCAGCGGTACTCTGCCCTGGTGCCAGTGCTACCGTGGAAGTAGTCTGGTTGGAGCCTGGTTATGGGAGGATGAGACCGACTGTCTCCCCTTTGGATACACAGCTCTGCTGCTGGAGGGGGAGACCGATTGTCTCCTCTTTGGCTAAACAGCCCTATTGCTGTGGGACAGGACTGACCGTCCCTTCCCCCTGTGCTGTAAGTGCAGAGACCACGGTCCCATCTGCACGGTTGTGGGGCTTACTGCCTCCCCTGGGTACGTCAAGCTGCCGCTGGGGAAAGGGGGTAACAAGCTTCTCTCTCATACATACTTCCAGCCGTGGGGGAGGGAGACCGACTGTCTCCACTCCCAATACAGAGTCCTGCTGCTGGGGAAAGGAAACTGGGCTCTCTATATTCCTTGTAGGACACGCTGCCGCTGGGGAATGGAGACTGTGCTCCCAATTCCATGTAACACACTGCTGGAGACAGGACCGACTGTCTCTGCCCCCTTTAACTCAGCCTGCTGCTGGGGAAAGGAGACTGGGCTCTCAATTCCCTGCAGATCACACTGCTGCTGGGGAGAGGGGGTAGCAAGCTCCTCTCCCATACATACTTCCAGCCTCTGGGGAGGGAGACCGACTGTCTCCGCTCCCAATACAATGTCCTGTTGATGGGGAAAGGAGACTGGGCTCTCTATTCCCTGTAGTACACTCTGCCGCTAGGGGACAGGACCAACTGTCTCTGCCCCCCGTAACTCAGCCTGCCGCTGTGGAATGGAGACTGGGCCCTCAATTCCCTGCAGGACCGGTGGAGAGACCTCGGTCCCATCTCCACTAGCCACCTGGGGTTCTTCCCAGCAAAACTCTACTATCTTGTCCCAGCTGAATGGGTCTGGCTCTGGGTCTGTCACTCTGCTCTCCTGCTGAGCCTTCTCACAGGAGTGGAACAGCTGCTGGTAGCCCTGTTCCAGCTCGATCTCCTGGGTCACCAGATGGACCAGGTCTTGCTCAATCTCATGAGTGTCGTCCCAGTCATACCTGCTCTCCCTCCACTCCAAGAGATCACAGAACCGGACTTGTGTAGGGCTCCCAAACTCAGGCTCTGAAAAAGTCTCCTATAACAAGCCAGGACCATCAAACTCCTCTCCCTCTGGCTTGTCATGCTCGGCTGTCCAGAGCAGGTATTGTGCCTCATACCACCAGAGCGCCTGGTAGGCATCTTCAAGCCACATTTCCTGCCATTCTCAGAGCTCCAATTCTCCCATTTCTCCAGGGGCTGCTCTCCCAGGAAGGACATCCGCAGGGCTAGTCGCTTCTGCAATCGCTGGTCTTCCTTGGGGAGTCTCTCGCCCCACTGGTACTCCGCAATACCCAGTGCCTGGTACCAGATGCCTTTTCGGACTGCATCTCGGTCATCCATGACACCCTCATCGCACTCTACTGCTGGTTCCATCCCGGTGCTGTCAGGGTCGCTGCACTGGGACATGCGTTGCCCTCAAATTGTAAAATCCACGTAATGGTGTCTCCTGTATCTGTCCTTCTGGCTGTAGGAACAATCCTGCCGCTTGCCACCAATTGTAACGGCACCCCCAGGCATAAAAGTTTTAAACCACCATTTAGTAGATCTTCCCCTTCCAGAGACACACGCACATCAACTGTAGAAACCAATCCACCGAACCGGAGAAGCATATGAATGGAACCATGCGAATGCTGTAAACAGCCGAAAAGGAAAAGACATACGAAAGCTTTACACTCCTAGCAGTTGAACTGAAACAGCATACAATAAATCCCCCCCAAGAACGAGATAAAGCTTAGTGTTGAGGGTCAAGCAGTGAACAGACAGAGCTGTGGGTTTATTGTTCTTATATGCTGTAGAATATTGCATATTCTATGTTTCTATTGATTATATATATGGATGTGTGGATTGACATAAATAACAGATGGTATAAGTCACAAGGCTTTCTTTGTCCGAGAGCTCTGGAATGTGGATGTGGGGTTTTTGTCCTTATATGGCTAGAGTTAAATGCTGACGTTAGTATTAGCACATCTTTATAGTAACAGAGGGACACAAGGTAGCTCTCTGTCTTGGCTCTGGCTCTCTCTCGATGTAAAGATGTAAGGATTTAAAGAAGTCCAGCAATTACCATCTGCTGTTGAATGTCCACTATACTGTAACATCCTTTATTATGTTTTATTATGTATCCGTAACTAAGAATAAACCTGAAGAAACCGTAAGTCAGATTGCGTATTAGTACTTTTCAATAATATAGACATATATTATTGTGGCGAGCATTTGGCCCAAGACTATATATACAAAAGACGTATATATATCAATCAACTGAAGACAAGAAGAAATTAAGAAGATTTAACAGTGACGATTCCAACCTGGATTTTACATATACACATTCTTACACATTAGTACCACCCAGAGGGTTTTGGAAAACCACCAATAAACACGTACAATACACTCAGACACTCCCACACAAATTCCTCCCCTCTACCTGTGATACAATTACCTTACACAATGGGTAATGTAATTATCACAGGCAGAGAAATACAGTTTTTCCACATTATTCATAATTTTAAAGACTTTCTTTTATGTTGCTGTTTTAATTTGTTTCCTGCTATTGGATCAATAAAATCTTTGTAACCCCCTGAATCTGCGTTTTGCAGGTACCACTCGCAGAATCCCAGGAAGTGCTTAGCTGAAGTCCTATGTGATTTGTTCAAGGCATGCAGTTTGAACCTTGCTATTGTATAACCATATGGCATTCCAACTGTATTCATGACATCTGAGCGCTTTTCTGACATATTGAGTGCTCAGATCCAAGTTATCTGGGGATATGTTGGACATATAGGTTAAGCATTGTATTATGTATTTTTATGTGGTTTGTAACAGTTTTTACTTAGAGATATTTCATGTACCTGGAGATAATTAAGTTACCACACCCACTTAAGCCAATTATCTCCAGGATAGAGGAGAAGATAGACCGTCTGCACAGCCTAAATCTGTGGAACTGTTTTTGGCAGGAAAGCCATGCTTGCAGTCGGTCAAATATGACTTCCAGCTATCTTCCAAACCACTGGACCGATTCGGATGATTTTTACATAAGTTTGTTAACTGATTATGCTGGTTCAGAAAATATAACATGTATAGTTTGGAAGCTATGGATATTATGTAAAACTGTGTAGAGTTTGAGTGGGTTTGTGTGCCTGCTGGGAGTGTCTGACTGTACTGTAATGTGGTGATTGGCTGCTGTAACTGTGTGTCCTGTGTTCCACAAGGTCCACGTGGGTGGTAACCTTGTGGAAAAACCTGTATGAAAGAAAGTCCTTTGGTGCTCATTAAACAGGTCTACTTGACCCTCAACTCGCAGCTTAAACTCGTGTTTGGAGGGGTCAGCTATAATCACTACAGGGATTGCTATGCTCTTCATTCTCCCTTAGCTATTGAGCTCTTATTCCTGATCCTGCTTCGCTCTACAGAAGGAAGAGGTTCACCTACTGGAACCTAGAGCCTGGTCATAGGTCCAGGGTGGATAGCAGATGACGAGACCCCAACCCAGCAGCGGCGTTTGTGGGGTCTGCAGTACTTGTGGTGTCGACGTTGCTGATGGTACTTTGGTGAGCACTAGGTGCATCCTTTCTACGGTCCAACTTTCAGCTAGCTTGGAGGAAACCGTAAGACACATCCGTGGCAAACCTAGCCACTTACAGAATGTCCTTGTATATATCTTGCTATTACTGCATTGCTATTCCTATCTGTGGCCAAACCAGCCACTTAAAGTGTAACCCCCCCGAATGTAATATGATGTAAAGTGTATTCCTGTGTACTGCTTGGTATCACCTAAGGCAGGTGATGGCTATCTGTAACCCAACCCCCTCCTGCCTGGGACTAAGGGAAGTGTATTGTGTGGAATGCAGACCCCCCTGCGGAGGTCTGTGTTTAAAGGAAACTGTAATCATAAAAGAGTTTGACTCAGCCTGGTGAGATGCCAGTGTTTTAACCTCCAAGCTATGTGTCGTCTAGTCCTTAGGAGAAAAGGACTGTAACTACGCTACCTGCATTTTACCTAAATTTTACCTGCTTCATCCTGTCTACCAGCGGAGATACCGTGAATAATACCACTACTCCGCTACAACATCACTATGCTCAAAGAGTATCTGGAGAGACCAGAAGATGTGGCAGCCATATGTAGTCCCACACGAGGACCCTGACAGCCATCCTTTACCCGACCTAGTGGATAAGAATCCCCACCCAAATCTAGTAGAGCAGGTCCAGACAGGCGACCAGCTTAGCCCCATTGAGAGGGAGCAGCTAGGTACCTTACTGCAGGAGAAAAGACTTACGTTTTCCCAGGAACCCGGTTATACTTCCTTAGCCACGCGCCAAGTAGATACCCCAGGACAGCAACCCCTAAGACAGGCCCCTTACCGAATTCCCGAGGCTGTTCGAGCAGAGATGTGGAAAGAGATAAATGAGATGCTCAGATTGGGAATCATTGAGTCTTCTGACAGCCCCTGGGCGTCCCCAGTGGTTTTTGTGCCCAAAAAGGACGGTACTACCAGGTTCTGTGTTGATTACCGCAAACTCAATTACAAAACTGTGACAGACACCTATCCGATGCCCAAGTAGATGAGCTGCTTGATCCCACAGCCAGGGTAAACTACTTAACTACCATTGACCTATGTAAAGGTTATTGGCAGATCCCCCTGGCCAGGGGGGCTATCCCCAAGTCGGCATTTGTCACCCGGTTTGGCTTGTACCAATTTAAGATCATGCCATTCGGGATGAAAAATACCCTAGCTACGTTCCAGCACTTGGTGGATAGACTCCTTGAGGGCTTCCAGGATTTTGCCTGTGCATACCTGGATGACATAGCGATCTATAGTGAGTCCTGGGAGGAACACTTGGCTCAAGTAGGAACGGTCCTGGTTCAGATTCAGGCCGCCGGCCTGACTCTGATACCAGATAAATGCCATTTTGGAATGGCAGAGGTTCAGTACCTGGGTCACCGGATAGGGTGTGGAAAGCAATGTCCAGAGCCAACCAAGATAGAGGCAGTTGCTAATTGACCCACACCCTGCACCAAGACCCAGGTCCTAGTCTTTCTGGGTACTGCTGGGTACAGGACTACAGTACTATTGCTAAACCCCTGACTGACCTCACTATGAAAAATCTTCCCAGACAGGTCTTATGGTTTCCCCACTGTGAAGCAGCATTCCAGGTACTCAGGAATGCACTAACCAATGCTCCTGTCTTGGCTGCCCCAGCCCTTAACAAACATTTTATTGTTCATACAGACGTTTCCATGTTCAGGCTGGAGGCAGTCCTGAGCCAAGTAGGAGAAGACGGAGGGGAGCATCCTATTGCCTGCATCAGCCGAAAACTCCTACCACAAGAAGTCAGCTATGCAGCCATGGAAAAGAAGTACCTGGCCCTGGTGTGGGCCTTAAAGAAATTGACTCCCTACCTGTATGGACAAGAGTTCACTCTGGTCACCAATCATAACCTATTGGTGTGGCTAAATCGGGTCTTCAGGGACAATTGCAGGCTGTTACGTTGGAGCCTGTCCTTACAGCCATTTAATTTCACCATCACCTACTGACCTGGGAAGCAGAATGGCAACACCAATGGGTTATCGAGGCAGACAGACCTCAGCACAGAATAACTTCTGTTCTGGACAGCCTTAAGTTGCCCCGAAAATGAGTCAACCCGTGTCTGCCAGAGTGTTCCACAAGAAGGGAGCCATGTTACAAAGTCCCCTCTGTCTGCTACACTTTCGATACTTGGTTATTAAAAACTCATGAAACATTGTATTGGGAAACTGACGGAGGCCAAGCACAGAGAGATGGACACAGGTTTCTTCAGGAAGTAAGAGATCTTTATTCGATTCACCGACCGGGACTCAGAGGGACTTATGTCACCAAAAACAGCAAAGATCTGAGTACTGAATACATAGAGTACATTCCTTATATAGCACTGTAGCTCTTCCCATAATTAGCTACGCCCACACATACCCTTAACCTAATCAATGAATAGAGTCTAAACTCATCCATCCGGTCTAACCACGTGGGTCATCTGAAACAAAGGAGAGGGACGCGTAATTCCAGTTCCTGCATTCCTGCGCATGCTCAGTACAGTGATGACAGTATCTTAGCTACGTGTAACTAACTAACTGATACTAGAAACACATGTACCTACATATGCCTTGTGGCAATCTTGGCCTGCTAAACTTGTATTTTACTGGAATTCCATCACAGTATCAAGTCATTTGTCTGTACGAATGACCGACCATCCGGCCCCTGACGTGTGCCGCCAATTAACCCCATTCACCCTCCCTATGCTGAACTGAGTACCAAAAGAACTGTTGAATTACCAAATGTATATTAAAGTATATGATGTCTGAGTTATGTATTTTTATGCAGTTTTCGTGTATCCGTAAAAGTTCGAATATTGCCTGTACCTGGAGATAATTAAGTTATTGTAACCGTTGGAACTAATTGTCTCCAGGCTAGAGGGGAGGATTTGAAAAGATGCATTTTGTCCTCATTGGTTGTTGTCATTTGTCACCCTGTGTACCATCAGGTCCAGAGGGTTGCGCCTCTGAAAATATGTATTTAAGCAGTGCATTGCCAATCAATAAACCAGACTTATTACCATCAACTCGCAGCCTTGACTCGTGTTGTAGGAAAATGCTTAATGCTAGCGGTCCAACCCTCAGCCAGCCTGAGGCAACCATAACAATTGAGTTTAGTATAGTGCTTGACTCAATTATCTCCTAATTAAAGGGTAAGGCTTATTGTATTGTATAAGGGAGTGTCATGCATTGTAATAGATGATAAAACAAGTAATTCATTTTAAAACCAAACATGCAAAGTGACAAAGCTGCTTTGTGTGAACCCATCCCAACAGAATTATATATGCTGAGAGAGCTGGGCTAACTGAAGGATAGAATATCCATATAAGGGCAATTTGAAACTTTATGGGGAACTTTTGTTGTTATGTTATTTAATTTCTCGGAAAACATTACTGCTTACGTCATATGTTCTTATTATTGTCCAAATGTTCCTTTCCTTTGGTATTTGTAACATCTGGTCCTAATCAGCATATTTGTGTAAATCAACACAGGATGTAACGAGAAACAGCTGCTTATGATAAATAACAACTGTTACGCAACTGTTACACCCAGAGCTGGATTAAGAGCCCATTGGGCCTGGTTCTGACAATTATGATGGGCCTAATTACAGACAGAAAACACTAAACGTTATCCCTCCCAAGCATCATGTAGCAGTGTCTAGTGAAGCAGGATGTCACTGGACAGAGTAAAAGGGGGGGGGCCCACTGATGCAAATCATGTAACCAGAACCTCCCAAAGGGGCGAATATGCCCATAAGGGGGTTGTGTATGCCTGAAGAATTGGAAGACCAGCCTTGAATGCATGCATGTCAGGCTCCCTGCCAATCATGCAAACTGGCCACCTAAGGACATATTATGCAGGCAGCACCCTGAGCCTTGCTTAAATGCATTGAATACCTTAACTAATTTCATTGTCAGCCAGTCCACACAGGCTTTGTTCCCCTACATCCCCCTTAAGTTTCCATACTTAAGCAAGAGCATGTAAAGAGTCAGTATATTTTTTTTTAACTTAATGGGTCTATTCCATGGAGATTGGCCTGGAGCTGCAGCTCCATCAGCCCCTATGTTAATCCGGCCCTGGTTACACCCATACACCCACACACCCACAAGCATGAAAAAGTATGTATAAATATAACTTGAGTCTAAATAAATTTGGAATTGTTTGGAAAGCATTTCAGAGTGTGTGTGTTTTTCCTCACTGGTTCCCGAAACGATTCGTAAGGGGGGAGGCGGTCTACATCCATCAAACCAGTGGGTCTTTGTATAGCTGACACTAACCTGCCGCCTAGTGCTCTCGGTCACTATTCTGGTTGAAATAATTTACAGTGAAAATATTTATCGCTTAAGAATAATTTCTTCATTATAACAAGGGGCCGTTTATGGGTGTTTTTAATATGTACCAAAACAGTTTGACGAGAAACTGGCTGAAATTTGAAGCACTATAACCACAACACTGAGCTGTAATAATACTACGAACTACAATGGTTATGATACTTAGTGTCCCTTTAAAATATATATAATTTTAAATTACTTTATTACATTTAATAGGATTTGTAACAATTTTTTTTCAACTTGTATTTGTACTACATGACAATTTCTGTAAATCCTGTATTCCTCACTGCATCCATTTAGTCCAGCAGAGGGCACTGTTTCCTTCATATGACAAAGCTGTGATATGTACTGTCTTGTCACCTTGGGTCATCATTTATTCTTGTACTGCTGGGGCATGCAGGCAATGAGGCACTTCTGACTTTCTGACCCTTGAGAGTGGCAGGACTGGCACAGGTTGCCCCAACCTTCAGATTTAGAGTGTTAATCCACCTGTAACATGACAATTAAGGAAATTAGATTCTGAGTAACATTTACTTTTATTACATACAAAGAATCAAGACAACATAGAATTTACCAAAGCTCTATTTAATATACAAAAAGTGGTTGATTTTACAATTTTTAAAACAACAAACATTAAAAGTAACTGTAAAAAAAATATTTAGAAAAATATACTTCAACACAGCTCGGCTATTTTCACCTACATGTTTCAATTCACTGTGATTTGGGAGGATCTGTCCTGCTCCTGAAAGTACAATAGTGCTTAGGCCTACTTTTACTTAAAAATAATGAAAATTGTTATCATACATACTGTCAATTTCTTTTCCTAGCTATTATCACAAGGCCAAATCAAGACTGTAATTTTTAATAAAGGCCATAGGAGAAGACCAAGTAGCTGCCTTGCAGATTTCATCTGATGGAACCTCTGCCCATGAAGCCCAAGAAGTTACCAGGGGCTGGTAAAATGTGCCTTGATTTTTTTAATGAGATTTTCTAATTTCCTTAGTTACAGATATTTATTTGATAAGGCAGTTGCGGACACCAAGTTCATGTAGCTTAGACTCCATTTGTGTGGAAGGCGCTGGACAAAATGAATGCAGAACAACTTTCAGAAGAAGGTGGAAGTTAGACATCAGTTTTGGTAAGAAATCACACCTGGGTTTTAGCACCACTCTGTCATTAAACACTGGTGTATGGAAATCCTCACAAGAAAAGGCTTGTATTTCAGAGACCCTTTTATCGGTCGTGACAGCAATGAGGAACAAAGTTTTATATGTCAACAAAACTCAGGAAAGCTCTTTCACTGGCGCAAGGAAGATTATGTTTAGGCTGTTAGGACAAAAGGGAAATCCCAAGGAAGATTTGAGTTTCTCCTCGGAGGTCTAATGCAAATGACGGCTTTGAAAATCTAGAAATAAGAGGATCCAAGACCCAGAAGGTGTTACAGAGGGCCGGCAAGGCTGAAGATTGAACTTTCAAAGTACTAAGACTCAATTCCTTCTGCAAACAGGATTGAAGAAATTTCAATACTTGAGTTTGAGAAGGATGTAGGAAAACAAAAGACTTTTCAATTGCCCAAGTTCTGAAGACTTCTCAGATGCAGTAATAATAAGCAGATGTTGATTTATTCATAGATTGTAGTAGAGTACTCTGATAAACCCTGGTTTAGGAGACTTTCCATTTTAAGTCATGCTGCTATGTACCACTGGTTGAAGTTGGGATGCACTGCTGGCCCTTGTAGCAGTACATCTTTTCTTACTGGTAACATCCAAGGAGGTTCCCGACTGAATCTGCTCAACAGAGATAACCAGGGTCTGCTTGGCCATACTGAGATGATGGCTTTAACTTTCTTTCCATCATTTGATATTTTCTTCAGAAGATGATGTATCATGGGTAGGGAGGGAAAAAAATACAGCAGATAAAAGTTCCAAGTCTGAGACAAGGCATCTTGACCTAGTGAGAGAGAGTCTGGTCTTGAGGAGCAGAATTTCCAAACTTGTGTATTCTTGGAGTTGGCCATCAAATCGATCTGAGGCATGCCCAACCTGAGTGAAACTTCCAGGATAACTTCCAGGTTCATTCTCCATTCTCCTGGGAGAATATCCACTCTGCTCAAATAATCTGTCAGAACAATTTTGGGACCTGGGATATAGACTGCTTTTAGACCAAGAAGGTGAGTCTAAGCAAAGTTCATCAGAGGACACCATTATATCAAAATCTGGGTGCAGCGGGTGCCTCCTTGGTGATTAAGATATGATGCCACGGTTCTGATGTTGCTTTGAATCACCACCCATGGTTCTTTGAGATATGGTATAAAAACTATAAGAGCTTAGTAGATGACTCTCAGTTTCGCTATGTTAGAATGTAAATTTCCTTGGCAGACCATTATCACAGTACCTTGTTTGACACTGCCTAGAGAGCTCCATGAAAGGGAGAGAGACCCTTTCCACAGTCCTTCTCATCTCACTAGCAGTTGCAAGGC